TATCTACAAATCATTTACATCTTGAGTGGGAAAAAAAGGAAGTCGAAGAAGATTATGTACTAGCAGATTAATTCAATATTGCAATGGTGTCCCAAGTATAAAATGCAGCCGCTGCGCTGTTAAATGTTGGAATGCAGTGCTGATAGATCTGTATTATATACTGCCTACACTAGATGTCATGAGCAAGGTGCTTTTAAAACCTAAGTTAGATAAGACAAATATTAATAATATTAATCTCTATCTTGTTCCAACTATCATCTTATTTAGGAAAACAGCACTGCAACTCTATTCGCATTTTATAACAATTGTATTTATGATAGATACTATTGCTCTATATTTTCTATATTAATATCTTTTGGAACTTGTTAAATAATTGCACCTATGGTACTTTAATTCCCCCTCACGTTATTGTCTGACTAACTGCTGTTACCAAGATTTCATTCAAATGCAGAAATACCATCTCAAGATAATCATTGTCACTTAAGCTCTGTGGCAGGGTTGTACAAAGAAAAGGGGGCTATTTGGCAAAGTGATGGTGGATCCAGGGTATGTTTCTTCAGAGACACTACTGATGTGGATTAAAATAAGAGCCTCCATGCGTCAATATTGAGAGGCTAGGAAGTCTCAGAGGTGCTGTGTTGTAGGTACAACTCACCCCTAACAGGGCAGAATGGTTGATTTCCACCCCTTTAATCACCACTAAATCCCAGCACAGATGCCTCTTACTCAAGCTGTGTTCCAGAAGGACTTGCTATGTACTCTTCCCCCCAGAATTCCAAGTCATTGCTTCTTGATTTCCCTTCTGAGACCTTAAATTATGCCTTTTCTTCATGTATAGCAGGGGTGGGAAACCTTTTTTAAGTCGGGGGCCACTGATCCACAGAAAAATTAGTCGGGGGCTGCACACAAGTGAGAAAGAAAGAAAAAAACCCTCAATGATTGAATGTGGAGAACATTCTCCACATTCCCCTTGCACACCAGAGCTTAGGGAGGAGGCTCAGGCTAGTAAATTGTGTGCGCTCCAACCCCATGGGGGAATGGTGGGGGAACTGGAGTGCCAGCCTGGGCTCCCCAATGCTGGGGGAGGGGCCCTTGAACACCAGGGACCAAATCCAGACAGGTGATTATTAAGCCTTTTATGGACTGAGATCACATCCCCAGATTCTGCTCTCTTCTAGAGTCTTTAATTATTAAGTGAGCATATGGAAGAGTTCAAGATTGCTTTCCTAAAAGGCATAAACAGCACAAAGACAACAGATGAAAAATGCTAGCCAGCTGAAGTACAAAATACTCTGAGAAATAGGGGAAAACAATCATCCAGCTATGATGGATATTTGGTAACTGCATAAGTCCATCACTGCCTAAATGTTCAGTCAGAGTACTTTGTGCATGTTCCAAATGTAGTAAAAGGGTCTACGTGATGTACAAATATTAACTGTACAGCAGTTTGGACATATAAAATGCTAGCTGTTAATGGCAAAACACAATTACTTTAAGGATGCAGTGAGTGAAATGAATTAACCATAAATTATAAAAGAATGCTTAAGACTAAAATGCCTGAGGGACAGACACTAGTGGATTTGTAAGCCTAAAGTGAAGTCTGCTTCATCTAGATAGGGAACCAAGGTATTTCACAGATTAGTTTAAAAACTGAACACAATATTGGTGCTGTGTTTAAAGTGTCAATTCCATCACTTTAAATAACAAAGACTTATTATGCCAAGCCATTAGCTGAGCTGACCTTCCCACTCTCCCTCTTGCACAAGTTCTTGCTCTTTTCAAAGAACTAGCTGTTCCTAGATTAAAAGCATCAGAGGGGTAGCCGTGTTAGTCTGACTCTGCAAAAGCGACGAGGAGTCCTGTGGCACCTTATAGACTAACTGAAGTGTAGGAGCATAAGCTTTCGTGGGCAAAGACCCACTTCGTCAGATGCATGTGACGAAGATTAAAAGCATGCTCTTATCTCCCACATCCTCAAATGTTTTATCAGTTGCTGCACCCTCCCTCTCTTCCTAGTATGTCCCCATCTTTCTCCTTTCCTTCACCTCTTAACTCAAGGAACATGCATTTGTAGCTATACTGATCCTCCATCTTGGGCCCTTCAATTCCTTCACTCTATCAAAATTTCTCTTGACCTCTTCCTGACTACATTTAAAGCCCTGGCCTGCATCTGTTTTCCTTGACATTTCTGTCACTTTAGGTACTGTTCAAAACCTTCAGGATCTCTACCAAGCATTTATAAACCTCAACTACCCACCTGGAGAAATAAAAAAGCAAATTGAAAGAGCCAAACGAATACCTAGAAACCATCTACTACAAGACAGACCCAAGAAAACCAACAATAGAACACCACTTGTCATCACCTACAGCTCCCAACTTAAACCTGTCCAACACATTATCAATAAATTACAGCCTATACTGGAACAGGATACTAAACTCCAAGAAGCTCTGGGAGACAGACCCATAGTCTCCTATAGACAACCACCTAACCTCAAGATGATTCTTACCAACAACCACAGGACATACCACACTAATACCAACCCTGGTACTTTCCCTTGCAACAAACACCATTGCCAGCTTTGTCCACATATTCACTCTGCTGACACCATTATTGGGCCTAACCAAGTGAGTTATAAGATCAAGAACACATATTCCTGCGCCTCCAGAAATATAATCTATGCTATCATGTGCCGAAAGTGTCCGTCTGCTATGTACATTGGACAAACATCTCAGACACTTCACCAAAGGATCAATGCCCACAAAACAGATAT